GGGTGACAATCTGCTTGGGATGGGGAGGGCACCAGTTTGCTCATTTCCCTCCTCTCTCCAGAAGATTTAAAGGCCACTGGCGGTTTGCAGTTCTCCACTTCCAGAATCTTATCTCTTTCCAAGTTTGCCCTCTTATTGATGGGTTATCACTAGCCCTTTAAATAGGGTTTTTTCCTTCAAGCCTGAGGAAAGTGAATGACGAAAGGCACTATCTCCTTTTCCTCAAAGTTTCCTCAAAGGAGAGATCAGAAACATTTTCTTCTTCTGCAGGGGAGATTAGCTAAACTTCTACCATCCCTCTCCCCACTTGCAAGTTTTTATCTCTGCCTTATTAAGCCTGTGGGGCTTGAAGGTATGCAGCATTCACTCTGCTGAATACCTCTTAGTCCCTTCCTCTTCTGCACTGGTGGTGATCTGTTTCATTAGACAAGGCACAGCTCTTCATCTTACCTGCTCACATTATGCCTTCCCCAAGGTGGACTCCTCTCAGAGCAGCCACAGTTTGCAAAAGAAGGTTGATGTATTGATGGCAATTGAAAAGCTGTATGAGAGGTTGTCTGGGAGGTTGATTATAAGGCAGCACCTTGCAAAACCACATGGAGTCAGTAGCCAGGTTACCTGGTCAGGAGACATTCTTTGAGCATTTGAGCAAAAATTAGTCACTTACTCTTTGCTAATTGCTATGCAGATAATTATATGGTTGCCAGCAAAAGATTCACTAAAACAGTGTTGGGACATCACTTAATTCAAATGTCAAAGAAGTGGTAAAGCTGTGCCAGCAATGATTTTACCTGAAATACATCTTTGTTCACTGAATACTCTCTTATTTTTGGGGTAGCATAAGAGAAGGAGGGTTGATTGTTTTCAAATGGTATCTGAATTCATGCATCTGCTGGGAGCAGCAATCCACTTACCCCATGTTCCAGTGAAAAAAGAATATTGCTGTCTTGAAGAGAAGTCTATCCAAAGCATAACGGTGTGAATGTGCATGAGGCTGTTGCTATACAGCATGCATTTAGCAGAGTCTAAAATTTACCATTATAATGAGAGAAAAACCAGGGTGCTTATTATTACAGTGCTAAACTTGAAGTAGGCAAAGCACAGTCCAAATTTTTTAATGACCTCTTCAGCTACAGGACTGTTTGTTTTCCTTTCCTAATAACAGTGTTGTAATCTGAGGACTAGGGGGGATGGTGTTAGGGAAAAAAAGGCCAAAAAAAGAAGGGTATTGAAGACAGAAGGAACTTGCAATGAGTATTTTGGTATGAGTAAACTTCGAAATGTACGGTAAAGCAGGAATCAGGAAAGGCCTCTGTGAGAAATTGGAAGACATGGGGGTTTTAAGGAAAAGGCTTCTTGATACCAGAAGGCAGGATTAAATCCAGAAGAGGAATCTGAGGTGGCCCTCAAGTACAAGAGAAGAGGTTTCTTTCTTATTGCTGAGATTTGCTAACATGAATGTAGTGAAGTGATTCAGGGTAACAGCCCTGAAGGATGGAGTCTTCTGCCCACCAAGCAGATATGTAAGGTAATAACAGTAACAAAATTGTCTCTTGCCCCTTTAGTAAACCTCAGTTTTGTTTCAAAGAGGCTATATTTGGATATAAGATGGCCATCTACTCTCTGTTGTTGTTTCTTCCTTGATTTTTTTATTGAGACAGTTAACAAAGCTATTGCCAATTTTATAGTATGGATGGCTAGCAAATGTATTGGCTTCCTATATGGTACGTTTTAGGTCTGTCTGTCTGCACCAGATTTGAATCCATGCAGTACACCTAATATACCTTCATAAATGTTGACACCAGCGTATCGTGCCTCTCCTTGTTGAGGGCTTGAAGATGCATTCCTGTTAATTGTAGATTGTATAGTGATGGGAATTTCTGGCACTGTTTAAATCAGTAGTATTAAATGTGGATATCTAATCTGAATATACTCTGAGTGTGTATTTTACAACCTAAAGTCATTGAATATGGTTTGTTACTTGGAACAACATGGGGGGAGCTGCAGGAGGAAGTGTTATGGCTAGTACAACTGGTTTTGCCTGCTCTTCCCTTTCAGTCAGTGACTGGTGGAAAGTTTTGGGAAAACCCTATGGAGGACTGTTTTATTGGTAAGGCACTGCTTGGGGTGTGATGTAGAAAAGTAAAAGACTGTGGCCACTCCTGTCTTTTCCAAGTCTGGAAGGTTTTCCATTTGGTTTAAGAGCAATTATCTTCCCTCAGGTGGTCAAAGTCGGCTAATTACATTTTTACTCCCTTCTCATTCCATGCATCTTGTAACTGCATTCTGCCTGCTGGATCCCATGATTATTTGTTTTGGGGTGGGGGCTGTTTGTTTCACAAGCAAAGTAACAGAACAAAACAGTTGTTGGGATACAGCATGCCTGTGGCTGCATTTCAGATGACAATTGAACAAGTGACTACTAATAATCAGTCGAGATGTTGCTCCAATAACTATTTATCCACATCTCCTGTTTTTTATTGCCTGATTTCCCACCCGTCTTCTGTGATGTTTTAAGGGAACAAATGAGTCGCTACGTTCAGGTGAATGCTGTAAAGAAGAGTGCGAAAGACAATGTTTGTATTGAAGCAGAGCCAATGAAATGTGTCCTGACAAAGCTCAAAAGAATGCTCCTGCGTATTCTTCAGTGCCATCTACCGGCGCAATTACCCATTAGAGATTTATAGGTCAAGAACATTCTCCTAATAGGCAGCAATTTACAAGCATTTGTTTATTTTTTCTTTTATTTTAGGAGCAAGGCAAGATTGGCGTAGTCTTCAATATTGGCACAGTGGACATCTCTATTAAAGAGGAAAGCACACCTGTAAATGATGGCAAATACCACGTGGTACGCTTTACCAGGAATGGTGGCAATGCCACACTTCAGGTTGACAGCTGGCCAGTGAATGAACACTACCCAACAGGTACATAATTTTTTCTCTTTGTTCTTCTCTTTCAGTGTATTTATACCTACAAACTAATGTTTAATAACAACTGGTTGCTGTATAAATCTTTGTTGCTTCATCTCAACAATAAATTGACCAGCCTGGTAGCACATATTCTGTCTATTGGAAAACAAAGTAATGGTCCTTTACACTGGAAGAATAAGCATGCCAACTGCGTGGTATGATGCACACAGGTCCTGCTGTTTCAGAGGTCTCTATGTGAATCCCGGTTCTGCAGAGAGTTACAAACTGATTCAACAACAGACTTGGTTTTGCTACTTGTGATATTTTCTAACTATTTCAGGGAGAAAAGTTTTGAACAGACCTTACGAAAAGGAGAGGTGACTCTAGCCACACCTAAGATACTGTCTATATGGATATAGAGTTGATATATATACTGTCTATATAGATATAGAGTTGATATAAAGTTGACTTTAGGTCAAAATGCAGTGGAACAATTCTGTATCTCTTTGGAAATTATCACCCTAAATCCACCAGGAATAGTGAACAACTGGCTCTTGAGTCACTGACCCATGTTTTATCCCACCACTGGCAAATCACAACCTCATGATACTATATGTCACCATGCTAAAAGGTCAAACTCACTCCAAGTGGAAAACTGATTGCTGTATGTGATGCTGACAGTGCATAAGATAGCTGAGGCTTGGTGATGTGGATAGTCAGAAAAGGCAGGAGGAGCACGAGGAAAGAATTCCAATGTTAACCACATTCTTCTTATTCACATGTTGTTATCTAAGATCGAACCATGATCTTCTTGTTGGTTTCCAGTATTAAGCCTAAGCAACTTCCAGTTCTTCCTTTCTAGGTTGTACATAACTGACCCAGGACAGAAGGAAGAATTCTGTGATAAATATGAGGCTAGTTTGTTAGTTGTGTAGGAGTTGCCCACAAGCCACTTAACCTCAAATTATGAGAAATATCCAAATTGTTTATGCAATGTTACATTAATAAATTACTCCAAGGGATAATTTCATCTCTTCCACTCACTCAGAAAGTGCACAAGAAAGTTTTTAACATAAATGATCTTTCCTGTGGTGCTCTCTACTACAAATTCAACATGACAGTTTGTTAGTGTTTTGGTAATGTAAAAAAAAGTACATTTTAATAATCATCCTTATTTCTGTGAAATAATTACTTTCAAAGAATGGCATGACAGACATACTGAGTTAGATTCTAACTCAGCTATCCATTGGTTAGAGAGGGAAGTGTGGCTAGGAGAGGCCCAAACCAAGCATCTTTCTTCTGCTCCTTTCATCAATTATTTTGTAGTAAAATACCTCTGATCCAGTTGGCAGCCAATTACAGTCAGTAAAAACCCCATGAATAAATTTCCTTCTTATATTACTTGCTGTAGTAAGTCCCTGGTGTAAAGAAACAAAATATTCAGCTCATTGCTTTAGAGATTTTTTTCTTAAAAGGGAAAATAAATCACACTCAGAGACTACCTCAGTACCCTCTGCTTCTGTCTTGGCTAAAGATATTCTTGTGTTTTCACTAGAAGATGTATGGTTTTATAGAAACAGCATTAATCTTATGTTCTGGTCTAGTACTGAGTATATGCAGTTGTACCCCAGGGGAAAAGGACACCTTTATATTCCAGACACCTTTTCCTTTCCATGCATGTATTTCAGTTTCTGGCTCTTTGTAGATGATGAAGTTTTCAGCCTGTTCCTGTGAAAAATAGGCTTACAGGATCATACTTTGTGTGTATGCATGCGTCTTCCTTATTTTTTCCATTTTCTTTCAAACCAATTTTTTAGCCAAATTTAGAAAAGGGACAAAAGTAAAAAAAAAAAAAAAAATCCTACATGGCTAGGGAAAATAACCAAGGGAGGAGGGCAGTGTTCCAGCCCTCCCAGATGAAAGGACTGTGGCTTGATCTCAATTCATGTTAAATACCAGAATATCCATGTAATAAAGAGGCATTATGAATGCCTCAGATTCAGGAAAAGCTTCAATGAGCCAATAACTACAGGAAACCAATCCTTATTAGTTCCATTTCTTGGGCAATTAATGGTTTAAAAGAAGACCAAACAGGAGCTTTTGAAATGAATAATTTGTTGTCTTTCACAGACCAAACTTGTGCTAGTGTTTCTCATACTGAGTGCAAGACCAAACCAGTGCTCAGCAGAGTTTCAACTCTGTAAAAAGCTTTGTGGTTGGGTTGACCCAGGCTAATCCAGCGTGTTTCGGCTGGAGACTGCTGAAACTGCAATTCTTATCAAACTTGTGTAACAATAGCTAAGGAATCCTGTATTTTATGCATAGGATCACTTCAATTCTGGAAATGGTTATTTGTAGTGTTTAAAAAAACATCGTATTTGTAGCACATGCATGTTTGGGCACACTGTGTTGTCTGTAATATGAAGAATTTCATATGTACTTGATTTTCTGCACAGTGCTACAGCCTAATGTTTGCAAATTTTATAAACTAGCTAAAGTATCTTCCTGATCATCACATGTGGTGCAATCTTCAGGCATTCTGAATGGCATTTCCATGCTCCTCTCAGAGTTTTATTACCTGTAGAAGGATTATACATTAGACTCATAATTACTTGCTCAATGGAAAGTACAAATAAAAGTAGGATATTCATTAAATGAGCAAAGAGAGAGAATATTGGCTTTCCTTAAAACACAGTCTTCAGTTAAATTGAAATTAAATGAAACTAGCCCAATGGGACTGAGAGACTCCAAAGCTGTATTTTTGCAACTTCAAATAAAAGACAAGGAAGTGGAAGGAAAATGGAAAAGCAACAAACTTACAATTCAGGCACTGACATTTTGGTTTTTATAGCATCCAATTGCATCTCAGTCACGTGCAACATGAGCTTTATGCTTTCTTGCAAGGAAACGGGTTAGAGAGAAATGGTAAAGGAGCGAATTAACTTGGAGCTAAGGTTGGCTAAACTTTGGGACTGAAATAATCCCAATCATTAGGGGGGTGATCTCTCACCATTTGTACTATTCCAACCCTGCCAGAGTTTTTCTTACTGGGCAGTAAGACTCTGAACAGTGGCCCGGTACGGGTATCTGAGACAGAGCTCCTGAGAACTGGGTGATGGCAAATAGCAGCATTAGCACTGGGGCTGCTATCTGCAATTCAGCTGTCGTGGTTTAGTTCAGCCAAAACCATTGAGCCATTTATGATTTATTTGCATTAGTTTTGCCCTTTCTTCTCTCCCTCAAGTACACAATAAGGAGATGGGCTTTTTCCATAGGCTGTACAAATAGCTAATTCCCTGATGCTTGTTTCATTAAGCTGGTCATCAGAATGTATTTCTCAGTCAGGGTATACACTTTTTGTTAACATACGTATGAATTTCTATGCCCTAAAGTACAGTTTTCCATGACTGCCTCCATTCTGTTGTCTCACATGCCTTCACCCTTTGGTGTACATCCCAGATAACAGGTTGTGCTTGGTCACCGTTATTTTCTTGCTTTAATGTTTTTGCTGAGAGCCTTCTCTATATCTAAATAAATCTTTTTAGTGATGAAGTAGGAGTCATTTTGGACCAAGAGTGGGTAAGACAGGAAAGCTAGTTCAGGAAGAGGAGGCATCTGACATGTTTTGGTTTCAGATTACAATGCAATCTGTCAAATTTGAGGCACTTTACAGTGGGATAGAAGGATTTAAAATAGGAATTCTGAGGTTTGGGATGAAGTCAGCAATTCTCAGAAGAGTTACAAACAAACCTTCTGTCCTGACACAGAACCTCAGTCCCTAAGTTTTCATTAATTCTAAGACAGGAGGTTTTTTTTTTTCTGTCCCCTGTCTTTGCTTGCAAAGAAATAATTTGTGTGTTGCCAGATTTGCACTGTACATTGAAACAAGCCTGATATTCCTGTTCATTCATCCATGCGCTGACTACATTTTCTGCAGTAGAAAAAGAAACAAAACTAGGTGAAGAGAAGCTGTAAAGCAAAAGTATCAGTGACACCAAAATAAAGTCTATTGGAGTAATGTTTTAAAGGAGAAGATTAAAGGAAGGGAAGCAAAAGGCAGGAAGAGGTTGTCATTTAAAGAAATACATGATTTAGCAAGAGAACTGTATCCTAGATTTTATTAATGCATTTTAAAAATAAGAAATAGGACATCATTAAACAACTGGATCCTTATCAGGACTCATGAGTTCATCCACCCAATACAGATTTTATATTTTTCCCCTTTATCATTCTCTTGAGTGATCTCTCAGCCTTCTTTTAGGAGTCTCTGCCCTTTCAAATGACATTAATTTGCAGTTCTATTGGTACTGAATAAAAGAAAAAAGATTTCATCCTCTGTGCCCCTACTTCATTCTCTCTCAAGTACACATTTGAGAGGAAGTTGCATTTTAGGAAAAGGTGGACAGTTAGCTCTTGACAGCAGAACTCCAGGGACTCATGACTGCTCTGGCAAGTACTGTGACCTGTTAAGTGCATACCTATAAAACAAAAGTTGGTTCTGAGACCCTGATATCTGTGCTGGGGGTTTCCTTCAGTTCCAGTTCCAAGGATTGAATGCCCCTAAACAGTTGGGGCATATCTTCTGGTTTAATTTAATCTGAGAGGAATCCAGTTTGTATTCCCTGAGAGTATTTCAGTACATGAACCAAAGTGTAGCAAGTGGAGATAGTTGGGAGGTACACCTTGGAGGCATGCTCCTGATTCAAACCAAAATGCTGATGTAGATGGGTCTTACTGTAGTATACAGCTGGAGCTGGACAGAGGAGCTCATTGTTTCATTACTCCTTCCCATATTCATGTTGCTTAAACAGTCAAATTTCTGTTTTCTGCTCTCTCTCATCTTCTGCTCAGGGGGATAAATTTACCAATGCCATTCACCATATAACTGACCCAGGAAAAGTGGCCACATGGGAGTGGAAATGATCAGTCAGGAGACAGGGAAAGATGAGATGACTTCCTTTATCAGCAAGGATGGTTTATGCCAGTTTAAAGTCTTCACTGAACTACAGCTTTAG